AGTGGAATGACATTTGCAGTAAAGCTGGAAATCCTCACTTACGCGAAGAGTGCGGTGCCTTGGCTGTAGTGGTGGAGAGCTGTACGGGAAATGTGGGAATATCACCAGAGGAAGGAGATTATGTTCATAAAGACTTGTGCTGAGTTCAGCTCATATTTGATGTGAAAGGTAATTATCGTTAGTGTCCCTGTGCAAGAAAAGATTTGCCTTAGTCATGTGGCACTTTGACCAGGCTGCCTTAATGCTGCTGTTGATTATTTCATAAGGTCCTGGCATACCCCACTTTGGCCTTGTTCGTGAAGCAATTTAACAATTTTATGCGTCGTTGGGACACTTGTGTTTAGTGTCCCTCAGCTGCCCCATGGCTGTGGAATGAGTATTTCTGCATTTAAAGAGGGAAGTGGAGGGGCCTTAGCATGAGCCCAGGACTTGCATGTAAGGATGCTGTTTCCCTTGCTATGTCTTGAATCATATTTGTGAAAGCAAGGGCAAGACCAGCCAGGGACACCATGGGGTTATAACACTCAGGTCAAACCAGGTGTATCGGCATCTTCATCATTTCTATTTCTTTGATGAGTTGGGTCTTCCTTTGGTCAGTTGGGCCTTCCTTTTTTGTAAGGGGCACCCAGAACAACTAATTTAAGGGAAACCTGTCTGGTTGTAGAAATGGATTTGAATCATGTGATATGCAGATGAAAAGGAGGGTAATTTACTGAGGGCCAAATGCATAGGATTTGTCTGCGTTCTTTGTGTTCTATAGAACTGAACTAGGATAGACAGAACCAATTAGTTATCAGAGTCGCTAAGCCAAGAAATGGCCTTCATCGTTATCAGGCATTGTACTGATAGTCAAACTGTGTTTCTTGCAGTCTACTTTGTCTTCGGTGAACTCTGTCAGCTGCTGGACACGAGTGAAGTCATCTGGTAGGAAAGGCATGTGACATATGGGCTAGAGAGGCCTGGTTCATGGGGAGTGAGGTTGCTGGAAATGCTGTTTGCAGCCCATGTGATGTGTTATCATCTGCATGAGCTCTTGCTGTCCTTCCTTCCATTTGTCTCTCTGCGTTATCACTGTCCTGGAGCGTTTCAGCCTCTCCAAGACCACGATTCAGAGATCAGCTGTCACAGCTGCAGTAATCATTTCCTTATTCTGGTCATATCCTTATTTTGCTGATGTGTATTAGCCATCTTACTCACTGGGGTGCTTGTATCTGTCTAGCTCTGACCAAACCCATCAGGTTTTTTAAGCAGACTGAAAGAATATGTAGTTAAGGGCTAATCCGTGTAAAAGGCAAAAACCAGCAAGAATGATAAACTGCACACACAGATGCACAAACAGTAACAGTTACTATCAGCGACAGTAACAAAGGCCAGAACTCTTAAAGCATTGGTGGTGGGCCACAAAAGGAACCTCTCAGGTGTGTCCTTGAAGAGAGTCAAGTGGGGCTTCGTAACTGATGAGAAGGAGAGCAGGTTGCTCTGGATCTTATATGAGGCTTTATTGGGTATTTGAGAGGACTGCTGGGACTCTGTAAAACTTCAGTGGGATATTTAGAGGAAGGATAAAAGTCAGGAAAGGGAGTGATCAAGGTGGATTAGGGCGGAAGAAACATGGAAAAATGGAGAGGGAATAAGGGGCAGGTTTCATGTAAGCAGGCTACCGAGCAGTGTGCTTGTCTGGCCAAGCTCTGTACGTGGTCACCACAGTCTGTCCTAAGGCTGTTCCTAACCGTTCTCTGTGTGAGTGTGCTCTCTGTTCTGTCTGTGCATCTGTGCCCCGCTAGCAAGCTGGATGGTGAGAACAGGAGGAGGTCTGCAGGGCCCAGGTGCTGGGAATACCACAGGTCTGCAGAAGCTGGACATGGGAGAGACATAGGTCAGGAGATGAACACTCCCACAGCTCTGCCTCGTAGCTCGGGAGTGTGAGCTGCTAGTGAACTGCAAGCATGCAGAACCAGCAAGCAGGAGGAGATCGAAATGTGGAGAGACTCGACGTCGGAGCTGGAACCTGGATGAAAGGGCATGGTGTCTGGGCTTGGATTCTGAACAAATGTAAGATGTGCACCAGAGTCAGAGGGATCTGCAAATACATGTCCATGTATGTGAACTTCAAACCTGATCAGCTGGAGTGGAGAAATGGGATCCAGGCCAGTGTGTGGTTCAGATTTTACATAGGTACTGTTGGTGCTTGCTTACGTGGGTGCCTGCGAAGGAGATGCTGTTCTCCTGTCTCTGCTGATACCAGTGTGGCTGATCACATCGGTACTGAGTGTGTGCCTGTGGGAAATGCATGCTTGGTGACTTGTACCTTGCTACTGGATGGCTTTGAAAAATGGGAAGAGCAGCAGCCTCCTGTCCTCTAGCAAACCAAGAGGAATGCTGTGAATCTCAAAGTCTGCAGGATTGACTACCGCTAGCACAAACAAAGGAGAATCGTGTCTGTGTTGCCTTGCTGTACAGACAGAGAACCCTTCTGCTGCATTACTCAAAACTTCTCATCTTTGCGTCGTGTTCTGGACCTGCTTGGGTTCTCTGTGTGTCCTCTGAGGTGAACCACATTTGATGTGAAGAGGTTGGGTTTTTAAAGTGGGCGGTAGCTGCAACCTGGGGAATGAAGAGTAGGACAGACTTAAAATGAGACAGGAAGGGGTGAAGGGGAAAATGACATTATTTTCTAGAGCTCTGACTAGTATTCTGCCTCTTTCATGGAGGAATAGTCTGTTGTGTCTGGTACAGGTGTGTCATCAGGCCACAAGAAAGCTGGTAAAATTTTGGTATGGACACATAGATGCTGAACTGTTGTGCAGTCTTCTGGGTGCAGTTAATTCATCAAAATGCTTAGCATAAATTTATGCTGTGAATTTATAGTGATTCAACAAAAAGTCCTTTGCTATAAGGACTGGTGCAATGTATCCTTAAACCCTGTAACCTCATTTGCTGTTAAGGGGCTGACTCCCACTGGTGGTCTTTGATGCCGTACTGGGTCTGGCTGGGATGCAGTTAATCTTCTCCAAGGCAGTGGTTTGGATTGCGACCAGTGTTGATAGCCCACCAGTGTCTTGGCTCTTGCTCAGGGATGGTTGCAGAGCGTCCAGGCTTCCTCTTTCCCCCCCTGCCCCTCTTCCCTTTGGGGAGGTAGCCTTTGCTCAGAGACTGGCTGGGCATCGCTCTGCATGTGGGAAGCGGTGAGTGATAGCCTTTGCCTCACTTCTCTTGGTTTGGTGGGTTTGGTTTTTATTTTTCCTGTTCCTCTTTCCTTCACTTATTAATCTGTCTTATCCTCACCCACAATTTTTCTTGCCTCTTTTTGCTCTTCCTCTCCTGTCTGCCTCGGGGAGGGTGAGCGAGTGATGGTGTGGGGCTTAGCTGCTGGCTGGGGTCAACCTGCCACAGATGGTCCCCACCTGTAATTGGTAAAAAATAGCAACTAAGCGTTTCTTGGTTTTCCCCATACTGATCTTACGCTTTGTAGGAATTATAGGCATTTACAGTATTTCACACTTCTTGCAGATCCTGCCTTAAAATTCCTCTATGTAATGCTTTTACAAATCTTAATCTTAAGAGGTTTAATGTGCCGAAACTACTACTTTCTGCATTGATTTGAGATGTTGCACGGACTCCTCAACCCTCTGTCTCCCTGTTTTGATCTCGTACTTGAGGTAAAAGCTCTGTGGGTCCTCTCGCTCCAGAAATGCCGCACTGAAGACTCTGGTCAGTGAGCAGGGTTGGGAGTCTGTCTCAAACGAAATGGAAAAGAAGGAAAGAAGCATATGCAGATACCCACTCCCATTTTACTATCTCAGTAGCAGCTAAAATGTTACCACGTGTGACAAAAGGTATTGGTAGAGAGGAATGAACTTTCTTGTTTCATCTATTATGTAGCAGGAAAATTATATTTTATTGAAAATAGATTCAATTTCAGAAATAAAATGTGGATTTTTCTATTATATATTCAAATAGTAGTTCAAAATGCCCTTGGCTTTTAGAGAAAACCTTTTATTTAAAAATGTCATAATTTCTGGCAGACTGAGCTGGCAAGAATTCATGTAGTCTTGGGTAGCCATGCTTGACAAGAGTTTGCTTAGGTAAAGTTTTTGTTTCTTTCTTAGCAATTACGTGAGTACAGTGTAATTGTAACGGGACTGGTAGAGCTCCGATAGGCTGATGCTGTCTGCATTCAGTTTTTGTGCTATATCTCGGCTGTGTTTTCCTTTTGGTGGTGGTTAAAGCTAGTGTTTCTAAAGCAGTTGAGCTGGCTTAATGGCTCAGGGCTGCTGAAAGAAGTTCTTCCTCCTAGTTGTGTCCCTTCCCTAGTGCTGTGAGGCATTTCAGCCCAGGAACTCGGCAGAAAATGATCGCCTTTGCGTGTCTGGGTTCGTTTTCTCTTGAACTGGGAGCTGTCTCATGGATGGCTCCTGCGAGTGCTGCAACTGGTGTAACAGACGTTGTGGGAGGGAGCTGGACCTTCTTCTGTAGGTGGTGGTGACCTTGTAGATCGGCTGACTCCATCTTACGAACCACATCTTCGTTTAGCTGCCTGCATTGACAGACTCTAAATGAGTCAGCCCCCTCAGCCTTGAGTGACTGCAACCAAAATGCGGGGTTTTCGGATAACTGGGAGTCAGGAGAAAATTGGATACCCCGAATGGCTCTAGCAAAGCTTACAGGCTCTGGGAAGGGGTGGATGCCACAGCTGGCTGTTTGTGGCGGCGTCTTGATCCAGGATAACAGCAAGATTTACACATATGTCAACTTTGAGGAAACGAATAGGAAGTGAATGCCCTAAGGGGGTTATGACCCGCTTTCAGCTTTGGTTTCAAACTAATGACTGGTTCTTTCATTAAAAAAATATGTACTGTTTTCCATGACTTGCAAATTTCAACTTTTATTGTTTGTATTGTGGAGTCTGTAGCAAAGGCTATTAAAGTATTCATCTTTCCAGCCCTTTCACAGCTCTGGATGTGTGGATATAACTGTTCTGGACTTTCTTTATTTTGCAGTTGCTGCGGGAGCTCAAGCATCCAAATGTCATTTCTCTGCAAAAGGTGTTTCTTTCTCATGCTGACAGGAAAGTGTGGCTTCTCTTTGACTACGCTGAGCATGACCTCTGGGTAAGGTGAATTGTTTGTAGGTACCAGGCTCAGAGCTTTAGTCGCAGAAAAGGGACAAAGTCAGGGAAGACACATCGATTTAAAAACAGTATACTCTGTGTTTGTTGGAAGTGTTTTCAGTAGTAAAGGAAAAGCAATGGAAAATGTCAGGTAAGCACACTACACAGTTAATCTGTGATCTCTTTAAGAAAATAAAAAGCTACATTCAGCTCTTAGTAGCTAGAAATCTGGTTAAATAAATGCAGATCTAACCCTCCATTACAGCTAAAGTAGGGTGGAAGAAAATGTAATTGATTATGTACATGCATTCCCTTTGAAAAATGACAAACTTATTGGCTGAATAGGACAGTTTAGAGTTTTAGTTACGTTGTATGTCATCCATGAATACGTGAAGTGAAAGTAATGCCACTGTATATAACTGAAATTTAATTCATATGTTTCAGTGGGAAGAGCTTTTTCCTCAACTCATCTGCTGAAATTACCTATATTTGGGAGGAAGGCTGTTTATTCCTAATTACAAGATACAGCTTTAAAATATAAACACATTGGAGGCAAAGTAAATTTGTCTTAAGATACCTACCTTTTTCCTCTGTTAATATTTGTAAGCTTAACATCCATTTGCAATTCTTTTAAAAAAAAATTAAAGTAGCATCGTAAAGAATCCAAAATTCCATGTGACCTAGACTTCCTTGAAAAAAGGTATGTGTGCCTCGAGTTAACTCTGACATACATTTTGAGCATTGCTTTCAATGGAACAAGTATTGTAATACCGACCTTAAAAGATGCTAAGAAGACTTGGATCAAAGGGTACAACAGAGGCAATTTGGAATGAGATGGAAATTTTGATGAACATGTTTATGTAGGAATTGCGCAGTATGAATCATGAGTTGGTTTTTTCCTCTGTGTGTAGTTTAGACAGACAGCATACACCAAAGCAAAACTGACTTCTTTTGAAAATGATGTTCCTTGTAGTTGGGAATAATTCAGTAGTATTTGCTGAAGAACTAGCATGTCAGTTTTCCTTCAGCTAAGCTGAATCAAAGATATTTCCTCCCACTTAAATAACTTGGAAGTTCTGATAACTTGGTATTGAGATTTTGTTACCAAAATAAAATTAGAGGGAAAAAAGTTACCCAACAGCTGAAATGTTGAGACATTCTAAAGGCCGATGTACAAAAACAGACCAAAAAACCTTGAGGAAATGGAGTAAAGGTTTTGTTTGTTTTTCTTGACATGGAATAAAAACAAGTACATCAGTTTTTTTTCAGTGCTGCCCTATATTTATGATATGTTGAGCTATAGAAGTTTACAAATGTTTGAGTTTGGGATTTTTGCTTCAAAATGTGCTGCAAGGCTTTGTATTTGTGTGGATGATTGTGACCAGTAGTGACCTGCCCTTGTTTTTATTTATACTGTTCTGCTTTGCTTCATACTTAACCAAAACCATTGCGGAAGCACTTACGTTAATGAAACGCTGGCCTGTATATAAGTAACTTAGGAATAACCCTCAATTTTGATCTTTATGTTTACGTGCGCATACCTGTATGAACTCCAGAACTCCCCAGCCGTACCAGCTCCTGGTTGTTCACTCTATCTGGAGGCAAGAGACTTAGCTGCAGTGATGGGGCTGGCTCCGTGCCCCAGAGAGCCCACTATGGACCAAGTCCTCCAGTGCTGAGCATATCTAGTGCAGCAGGTCTTAAACGAGGCTGGGAAAAGGGCACGGAGTGTGTTAGAGCAGGAACAAAAAAGTCCAGGAGAGCCATCTGTCTGTCTCTGAAGATTCACTTCTATCTTGCCACTGCATGAAAATAACATTTGCTTGTCAGTGGAAGTAGGAGGCGAGAGGAGGTGAAACTTGTGTTTCAGACTGAGGGATGCTTGTGCACATGGTGCTTGGCTGATGGGGCAGGGCTGTCACCTTTTTCATCAATGGTTTTTTCCTCCGTGCAGCTCCATTTTTACCTTTGGCAGGGCAGAGATGTGCCTTTTTCTCCCAGGAAAGCCAAGGTAGACGCCTGAAGCAAAGGAGGGCAGGCTATATGGAGCTGGGCTGCAGCAGGAGAGGAAAGGCAATTTCCCAAAGGGGTTTGAGCAGTTGGGTACCGAACTGGCACCTGCAATATGAAAGCTCAGGAACGTAGGAAGAACTGCGTGATAAAAGTTTGGTGCTGAGTTTTGGACAAGATGGACAAGCATAGGCTGTTTTGATGATCACACAAGTGCAAACCATTACAGAAAAGAAGTGTGAATGCATGACAAAGTTTGTTCTAGAAATTACCTCTCTCAAAAAGAGACAGACGTGGAAATGGTTACCAGGACTGTGGCACACCTTATACTGTTGAAGTTGGTAGCACCTGGGACTGAAGTGCTAAGACAACACATCCTTTTGGACTCCTCACTGTTGCTAGACATCATTGCCTGTATATACACTTATAATTGTTAAAGGTTTTTTCTGTGTCTGGCTTGGTGGCTGACTTTCAGATGGACAGATTTATAAATTTGCTCTGTCAACAACTTCTGTTTTGAGAGTACTGTACTTTAAGGGTATAGTAGGTAAAGAAGGAATAAATCTGGGCTTCTAATTTGGATGTTTAACACTCCCAACACAGTTTGCAAGAATTTCTGTTTGGCCTTAGGTGTTGCATATTACAGTGTCATTATTACTGTAGGAGAAAACCTAAAAGTAAAATAATACAGGAATTAGGTAGTGCACTTTTAATTCAGTGCTGCGATATACAAGATATCAGCCTACTTTAACAAAAAGAGCCCCCAAACAAAAATACCCCTAAACCCTCCAAGATCAGTGATCTGCAAGGGAATTTGCTTTGATAGTTGTATTGGTTTTGTATCCCTCATCCCACTGTGGGAGAGTGGGCAAGTGGCTGTGTGGGGCTTAGCTGCCTGCCAGGGTTAAACCACAGCTACAACTGATTTCATTTTTGAGAGATCTCCTTGGGACAGTGATCACTTTACATCATATAGTATTAATTTTCTAGTACTTAAGGTACATGTTTCTAGCTTTGTACATGAATGATGAAAGGTTGAAAAAAACAAAACCTAAGAGATCTTGTGTAAAGAATTGCTGGCAATCTTTTTGTGTAATGCTGTAGATCAAAACATTACGCTTTTTTATTTTGATTTCTTTTTCCCCTTTACAGCATATAATCAAGTTTCACAGGGCTTCTAAAGCAAACAAGAAACCAGTTCAGTTACCTCGGGGAATGGTGAAGTCACTGTTATATCAGATCCTAGATGGTATTCACTACCTGCATGCTAACTGGGTGTTACACAGGGATTTGGTAAGTGGATCCGCAATGGGTTTTAGCACCGGGATGATGATTGAGGGCAAGGATTGTTTTTTATGAAAAATCACTGGGAGACAAAAACCTTTGTGCTAAGGGCATGTACTAAGGAATATATATTTTTATACTGCAGTCAGCCAGCCTTGATTAGTAAAGCGAATTTTAAAAACTGGCTGTGATCTGATATGCTTATGATGGCAAAGTATATCAGATGGCTGTTTTCCTTTTTTTGATTTTCTAAATAAACTCTTTTTAAAAGCGTTCATTTAAATAACAGGCATGTTGAGGTACAGAAAATGCCTCTGGTAGTATCACTGCAGGCAAGATAAATAACTAAATACAGCCTGTGTGTAGGTGGGGGAGAGGACGATTGGCTGTAAGAACTGCTGAAAAAATAGCAACTTCCTAAAATTATCAGTTTTGCTGATGAAGGTAACTTTTGAAGACCATTATATTTTCCTAATATTTATAATCTATCAGAACTATAGACATGCCAACTTTTGAAGACTTCTGCAAATAAACTAAAGTTTATCCAAACTACAGTATAAGCAAAACATTTTGAACCTCAGTTAGTGTTTCTTAACCAGCAAATCCTATTAAATGTTTTAAATTGGTGAATCTCACCAAGTCTTATATATCTGCCTTTGAAATATACCCATAGCTGGCTGGACTGGTTCTGTCTGTTGTCTTAAAATGGGGTAGTTTTCCTGACCCAGTTGTCTGTAGCTCTTATTCTTAGAAGTAAATGGGAAAAAAAATGCTAGCAAAGTATGATACTATCTATATATGATGCTTCTAATCACTGAAATTTCATTAGTGCATGAGAATATCATTAGTTTGACCTTTCATTCCCATGAGTCAGTATTACCACTGCTATTCTATGCTTGGTGCAGTAAGTCTGGCTTCCTTATTACTCTTCCAGAGTCACTTTTTGTCTTTGAAATAGCTTTAATAGTGTTCCTGGAAATGTAGTCAATGACTAGTTATTTATCTTCTATTTTCATGCCCAATAAATGCTTTTACAGAGTGCCAGTCTCTGTTTAAACTGCTGGGAAGAGATTTATCTTTGATAAATAACATTTTCAGAACTGAAATACAAGGAAGCTTTGCTGTATTAAAATAATTGTATGGATGTTGTTTCTAATTTGCTCCTGGTTTTAGAAATGGAACAAAAGCCTCAGCACTGAGGGGGAAAAAGTCAAAAAGAATTGTGATGGCTTTGTCATGACTCATGAAATCGTGGCGCAAAACATAATGTAGAAATAGATAGTGCAGGTTACTACTTAGACACACTTTGTTTCAAACCAAAATGTAATGTCTTACTCTAATGTTCTGGTTGCAGTAGTACTCTTCACTATATTTTTAGGAGGCATACAGAAAACAAAGGACCTGTCGTCAAGAATCTAAATTTTTCTGATGTTTTACTTACTACAGTTTCAGAAAAGTAATGAACTTAAGCGTAACTGAGTTTACAAAGAAAACTGTGCATATTGCTAACTGGATGGCTCAGGAGATTGGTAATTTATTACAGAGCCTTTCACATCTAGGTCCGTAGCTTAAATACAGTTTAAGCTGACAACTGTGAAAAACTATTGCCATCTCATTTTCTGACCTATGTGAAATGAGTTGGTGGTCTCAGTCCAGCATGAAGTTTTCTTCCAGCAGAAAAACCACCATCACAATTGGCTATCTGTTGATAATCTGAGGAAGAGACCAAAAGCTTGAGGCAGAGACTGAGAGGTCTTCCCACTGGAACCTTGTCAAGCCGCGTGGGTGAGAATCCTCTCAAAGCTGTGCAGGGGCTGCCTGTGCTGCCTCGTCCATGGAAACCTTTGGGTTTGTCATTTTGAAACTGTTCAGTTTGAGCTGAATTTAGAAGGCACGTGTTTCAGGCAGGAGAAAAGACAGAATTGTATCTGTCCGGTAGTTTCTTCCTTTTATCAGGATCCCTGGGAATGACCTGAGTTACAGAAGGGATTCTGCCTAGTGTTTTGTCTTAGCGAGACAGGGGCGTATCGGTCCAAAGTGAAGCTTGCAAGCTGGGACTTCAGTAGCATGTATCTTTTGATCCAAAGCAAAATAATGGACGTTACTGCTTGTTCTTGATGTGGGTTTCTATTGCAGGATACCTGTATTATTAGCCTTCAGGAATATCGGTGTTAAATCATCGATTTTTAACTCCAGATTGGATGACTGGACAGATCTATTATGTTTCTCCTACTGTGCCTTTAAAGTGATAGGTGCTGCTGTAGTTTCTGAATGTTTTAGGTTTCCCTAGATTTAATGTGTACAGATAGACACACAGAGTTGCGTAAGTAACATGCTTGCCTTCATTTCCTATACTAGCTATTATAAGAGTGATGGGGGTGGTAGGAAGCTACAGAACATAGTACTTTGGCAGAAAAATCTGGTTTTTGCTATATCTCTCTTGTAAGATAAGGATTTTTTTTTTTAAAAGGTTAAGAAAGCTCGTCTCTTTGAAGAGTAATTATCTTCCATCTAAGTGCAATTTTCTGTTTTGGGGATTTTTTTTTTTTTAGATGTCTTAATGAAGTTAGCTTTTAGGTAGGTAGTGTTTCGGAGGTTTTTGAGATCTTGACTTCTGTAATCAGAAACACAGTATGTCATAAAGTAGCTCCTTTCTCGCTAGCATCCACAAACCAGACAGTAAAACTTAATGGCTATTAAAATCGCATAAACTGAGATTGAAATTTGCTTTCATAATGGTGGAATCAAGGAATCTTAATTCATGTAAGGTTTACATAAAGTGAGTATATTCTGTATGAAACTGTAGGGAGACAATTATCTACTGTTTTTTTTCTAGTCATGGTTTGTCTTTACAAAGGAAATGCATACAAATCTTAGCAATAACTTCACTATTTAAATAGTTAACTCTCTGCTGGTTTGTGGTTGTGTGTGTTTTTTTTTTTTTCTTTCACTGATTAGATGAAAGCAAATTCACTATTTCCATCAGAGCAAGGGAGACATTGATTGTTTTTGTTATCTTTGAATACTGCTGTGCTTGACTAGTTCGCTTTTCCATAAGTCTTTGAAACATACCAGTAAAACTTTTCAACAAATAAATGTCGGTCCTTTTAAAATTTCTCATTTGACTTGCATATTCTTCAGCTTTTTTTTAATTTCATGACTGAGAGCAATTGAGAGCAGATTGTTTATTCATGCTCTGACTGTAGCAGGAAGGAAATAAGAACGCTTCATGTAATTACCACAAAGTGCATCAATTACAGTTTTAATAATATTTTGAGTTGAGTTATCAAGCATGCTTGAAACATACTGCATTTTCCTGACTTATTTGCCTAGTATGTTTTCCGCTTTATGATATCCAGCTATTGGACTTCTTCCTTTACTCAAAGTTCTTATTCCACACTAAAAATAAGCATAAGCAGAAGACTAGCCATAGATCTGTTTGCATCAGTCTACAACCTCAACAGTGAGAGAAAAGAGAAGATGGACTTTGCAGTGTGCTTGGAAGATTTCTTCAAGTAACGGGTTCAAAATAGAGGTCCCTCTGCGTGGTACAGCAACTTCTGTGCCATGCCTGTTAGCATTTAAAAGTGCATTTTCATATAGTATTAGTTTGTCGTAGTCCTGTCCACACAGTCGGGATCCAGTCTCAGCTAAGAGATGGGTGCTCCTCCTCCGCTGGTTTTGTGTGGTGATAGTAAGATTAGTCTGCAATTTAAATTAATAACAGATTTTGGACTGAAACTATTTAAAGCGCTCTTGTGGTGCAGCAATGCTTGAAAATGTACCACCACCCCCAAACAAAAAACCCCAGAGGAAATCTCGCAGGTCTTACTTGTAGTACTGCAGCTGAGAGACTATGATGAAATGTGTTTGTGGGTGTTTCTTTTTTTTGTTCCCAAATTTTCAGACTAAATTCCCTGGTCTGTTTCTTTGTGCGTGACATGAGCGGGTACTGAAGAGATGAATTGCCGCTTGGCAAGCCAGGTATGGAAGCGGGTAACGCCGTGCTGGGCTCCTGCTTCCCAGTCCCCTCCTCCTGTCGCTGGCAGAGGAATGACACGCTCTGAGCCTTTGTCAATAACATCCATGTCCTAGTTAGGCTGGGGTTGTGTCGCTGTGACCATTTGCAAACTAGCACTAACACAGGGTACCGCAGCCAATTTAAAGCATTCCTAGTGTGCACCTCAGCTAAACTGCTGCTGTGGGACGAGCACTGGTTTTTAATAAGCTTTCAGGCAGACAAGATTTAATACAGTTGGAACGTAGCTTCCTGGGACCTGGACTCTTCCCAAGGATACCTGCTGCCAGGTTTGGGATTAGTGGGAACATTAAAGTTGTTCTTTTAACAATAAATGAGGAGAACCCACTGCCAGGGTGCTTTTTTGTAGACATCATCGTAGTCGCTTTCCAGCCTGTGGCTGTGAATCACTTAAGTATGGGCTTCAGGCAAAGCTAAATATATGGAACTTTTACCCTGCCAATTTAACATTTTCCACATCAGAGCTCTTGAATCTAAGGATGTCTCCCTCATCAATATTCAAGGATTACTTCAGAAATACAGGA